TTCCAACCTTTACTTCCAGGCACGACTGGGGAGACACGGTGGGGCAGAGACACACGGCTTTTGACATGCTTTTGCAAAAACAGTCTGAAAGCGACAACCTTGTGAGGCACTGTTTGCTGTTTCATTCTTGCATCCTTCCCAACATTTGTGACTGGGAAGCCACTCCCTTTTACCTGCCAAAGGGAGTGCCAATCCCAGAGGTTCCTAACTAAGGGTTGGGTCTGAGAGTGATCAGGGCACACTGTTGAGGCTAGAGGAACTAACTACACCACTTCTTGACATTCCTCATGGCCACGCGGGGATGCCACACAGGGAGGGAAGGACCCTGCCCTTGTGCTAGGACTGTAGGGGTGGCCTTCAACATAGCCGTCTGTCTCTGGAGCACCCAGCTGATGGTAGACCTAGTCTCAGCTCTCATCGGGTGGCTTTCCTGGGAGCTCTTCTTCTCCCCTCAGTAGCATCCTTTTATTTCCACTTCTGTAGGCATGGCTTCTTTTCAGGTCTTACGGCTGCTGCAGGTGGGTGGTGAGACAAAGGGCGCCATAGCCAGAGACTTGTGGGTGCTGATGGAAACCAACCAGGAAAACACAGAGAATTCAAAAGGGCCTGCATTTTTTTTTTTTTTTTTTTTTTAAGCAATAGCCTTTGTAACTGAAGCCAGATAGAGAGAAAATTGGTGATCTTGGCTGGGGCTAACGTGACTCAAGGCCCTTCTCGATGCATTGGTGTCTCTGCAAGGAAATCTATTATTTTCCATAAACTGTCTTAAGCATCTCCCGGGCTACATTTCTGGCTGTGTTAAGAATCAAGTCATCAAGAACAGCTGTGAATGTTATACACTTTCAGCAGCAGCAATGGGCTTTGGCAGGGAAGTAGGAGCAAAAGACCCAAGTAGGACATTTCAGTTGACAGTAATGGCATTTTCCCTTCCTTGTCCAAACGATAAAAGATTCATGTTCCTAATTGCAACACTATAGCTGCCCTCATCACTTTATTCTGGGAGAGGAGGTTAGAGAAAACAGGCCTAGAGAGAGGGAGAGAAAGAGAGAGAGATAGAGATGGATAGTAATTTCGTCACTAGCTAACAGAGACTGATTAGCGCTGAAGATTCCCTTCCATAGCAATACTTTTTAATCAGGTCTGCTGTGTCTGGGCAAACAGCTTTTGTGGATTAGCTAGACTTGAGCTTGCCAGCATCCGTTGCAAGTTTAAACGATGAAATACACAACTACAGAGAAAACAAACCAAAAAGAGTAATAAAGTCACACATTTCAATATTCAGCAACCATTAAGGGATTTAAATATTTGCTTGCTATTAAAGGCCTGCGTTAGGCTTTTCCAACACCAGCTCTGGAAGACTGAAATATCAATTACGGATCAATTTTCCCCCTAAGTAAACACTAATGCAGGATAAACAGTATTAGAAGATGCAATTGTAACATTGCTGACTTCAGGATGGACTTCCTGCTGGTAACAGCAAGTTTAAGCCTGGTGATTAATTAACCTGAGAAGATAGCACTTAAGGAAGATTTGAGGCGGTCACGTCTGAAATATGACTGTGAACCTGTGCATGTCTGGAGGGCAGCTGAAGTCCCGGGCCCAGAGAACCGGTTGATTTGCCCCTCAGTAGTGGTTCTCACTTTCCCCAGATCAACACTTTGAAGGATTAGGAGGGAGTAAAATGGGAGGCGCAGGTAGGTGTGCATGCATGTGAGAGAAAAAGCAGTAGACAATGTCAGGTTCCTTGTTGGAATTAATTCTGCATTTCAACAGGCAAGGCTCGAGTTGTATTTCCCAGCACTGACCACCAGGGGCAGTAGACATTTTATGTTTATTTGGGAATGAAAAAATAAAAAAAAAAAACATAAAAAACAAAACAAAGTTTCCTGTGTACTGAAGAGCCTGGAAGCTGAGGATTGGAAGACTTGAAAACAGAGAAGATTCTTGCTTTCAGGTCTCAGTTCAGGGATGCTCATGTGTAATGATGTGAGAGTGCTGGGGGGGACACTGAATCCTGCAGTTCCTGTTAGAGGCATATTTCAACATTTTGGAATAAACACAAATAAGGCAAGGACTATGGTCTGCATTTTTAAAATATGCCATATTGCATTCTGAAGGCCCCTCACAATATATGACAGCAATACTAAGGCTTTGCTTGGCCATTACCCAAAATGATATTCCCTGATACTGTTCCAGTGGGTCCTTGAGAGTGATGGGGCCAATAGGTCTAAACTCAGGACTGGCTGGCTTGGCTCTTCAAGGCCAACCTGAAAGCTACCTGTAATAAGGATGAACATGCAAACATCAAGGTTTGAAATACAGCATCGGTGGCCCATTCAGATTAAGTGTAACGTAAGGCTCAGGCAGCCCGGTGCTGGACTATTCTCCCTTTAATCATCTGATACTTGCTGGGTGACTACCGCATGCCTGCCAGGGACTTTAATATGGTATTGACCCACAAGGTCATGGATGACGGCCAAGAGTCCCTTCTTTCTTCTCCTGTACAGGGGGCCAGGACATCCAAGTGGTTCAAAAACTATACATGTCTGGCTGTGAATACAGATTTCACCCTGAAGGAATTTGGTTGCCAGTTCTTCATGACAAAGGGCTGGGTATTTGGGATCCTGGCAAAATAGCGTGTTAATCTTGGGCATGATTTTATAATAAAACAGATACCCTCACTTAAGCAGGGTCTGTCTACCTGTAGCACGGTGGCTGCATGGTTTCTTTGAGGCTCTGGTTGACAGAATCAAAGGAGCATTTCTCCATGGAGTAAGTCCACAGCGGTACAAGAATTACATTTCAAGTAGACAGAGGACAGTGAAAGATTGCACCAATTAACACCCGCATATCACCTCAGGGTTCCAGTTGATGTATTTGGAGAATGCCAGGCCAAAACATTTGTGAAGACTCTCTGGAGGAAACGAGGGCCATTTTCACTCTCGTACACAGTCTTCTCAAATGAAGGAGCCAGCAACTTATCAAGATCCTTTGAGTGGGGACTGCTTCTAGCACCTTTTCATTTGCATACCCTGTGGAGCTCGAAAGGTAAATGTGCAGCAGTCATCACCACCTCCTGTTTGCCTCAGCTCAAGGAACTTCTGGGACCCTTTTCTGTAGGGTACAGCTAAACCTGGAGCCTCATGCTGCAGACAAGAGGGAGAGGGGTGGGGAGACTACACATACTGCATGCCACGTGGCTTGGAATAAGTCTGCTAATGAATGGTGAAGAGAAAAGGGTCATTAAACCTTCTAAGTCGTGGTTCGCAAGGGCACGATGTGTCTATATGCACAGGAGCCCGCAGAGCTCCCTCTGAGTAGTGACCACTTCTTCGTAGCCCTGCCTTTTTAGTCACCATTTGCCTCTATCCTGTGACTGACATGTAATGAACGCGTAGTGTGTGCCTGACACCTTTTTGGCTGAGCGCTGACTGCATATCTCACTGATCTTTCCCAACAACCTTCGAGGCTATGGTGATGTCCACCTTGCAGAGCAGGAGACCGAAGCCAGGTAGGCTGGGCTACTCACTGGAGGTTTCACTGCTACATGGTGGGACAGGGATCTGAATGCAGGCAGCCTCACTCTAGTGTGCACTTTTGATCCTTATTCTATTCTATCTCTCTGGGTCTTTTTACAGAGATGCAATGAATGAGTACTCCCCACTGCTCCTTGCCTTCCAGCAGAGGCTGGGAGAGGTCACTGAGGTCTCGACTCCTCTGCCTGGACTTTTTAGTACAGCCACAAGAGCCATCCCACCCCGCACACAGAACTGATTTCTTTCTCCTCCCCATACACATCAGCAGGCTGGCTGGGCTTCTTGCCCTCTGTACTTTTGACTCACATTCCTTCTCCACGAAACCATCCTTTAAGATCCAGCTGGGGTCCCAGCTCCTGCGTGAACCTGTCTGGGGACTCACCAGCCTTCACTGATTTCTCTTCTCCAGAAAATTCCCATAGCACTCTCTGGGCTTCTCTGTGTTCGGTGGGGCACCCATAGCTCAGGGGCACTTCATGTTTTCAGGTGATGTAGCTGATACTCTGCTTGGCCTCCAGAGACCGCCTTATACTTCTCTGTATCCCTCACCATGCTGGACATACAGCAGGTGCTCAGTGACTGCATATCTGATTAACTGAGTTTTTTTTTTTTTTTTTTTTTTAGAGACCAGGCCAGGATGGAAGTGGCCCAAGGGGAGATGCACAGCCTTCAGCCTTTCTGGAGCTTACCTTTGCTTTTCCTATGGAACTTTCCCCATGACATGGCCAAGGGAGAAAAGGGGAACTCAACCACAGCTGGAGGGTGATGGGAAAAGGGCACTTTGGGCCCGGCCAGACATTATCTGCGCATTTATAAGATCAGCCACCATGAAGTGTAAGTCATTGCTCACTTCAGCCTGCAAGGCAAGGACGATGACAACAGAGCAAATCCTACTGTCTACCCAGGCCTGGAAGTCTCAGCAACCTAAACAGCAAGTGAGAACAATCTTCCGCAGGCAGCCAAGCCAGTCCTCCACAGCTCACGTCTTCTTTTGTGAAAGGAGAGAGAACTTTAAATGAAGAAGGCAGAATGAATTGTTAAGACACAAACTCCCGAAGTAAGAGACAGGTGGAGCAGCCAACACAGGGAAGTTGGTGAGGGTGGGGGGCGGTGAGAGAGGGGATGAGTGCGGGAGACACATCCACGGGAGCGGCCTGTTCCGGCGGGCCCGCCACCACAGCTCGCACACCTGCACAAATCGCTGAGTCCACGTGGGAGCCCAGACTCAGCCACGGCACAGCACCCGGCTCACCTGTCCACTGAGTGGGGAAGAGAACAAGGACAGAAAGGATGAGCGGAGAAGGAAAGAGAGTGCGGCCCCCAGCAACCCAGCTGGCAGCATGTCCTAGCATCTACTGCCAGCGCTCCTGGCCCCGCACACGGTCCTAAGGAGGAAGCTGGGACCAGAGGCCCATCTCTTCTCTCACTCGGCGTCCGTAAGAAGTCCATAAAGAGATTAAAGGATCACTTTGTAACATTAATTTTTTTATTAAGAAGACAGATATTTTATAGTACTTCTTTTTTTTCTTTTTTTTTTTGTAAAAATGGTATACATGAACCAATACAAAATGCGAATGGGAACATATGGATATGGAGTTTCTTACACTGTAACATTGTCCATGTACACCTTAAAAACAGAACTGGCCTAAAGGGAAAAATAAGACGTCGGTGTGACTAAAGAACAAGCTTATTTGGCATCAATTATACATCCTTCATTATTTTATATTCCTTTAAAAAACACAAAAAACAAGTTTGTTCTTTCTTCACTCTAAAAAAAGTGATCAACCTGTACAAAGTAATACTCAACAATACATTTCAAACAGTGCACTGTATACTTAAGAAAAAATACATAAACCAATATACAACTAAAATCCATAATTTCCTGTTTTTGCTTTGTTTTATTATTATTTTTTTCCAATGTGTGGGGCCTACACTTTGCAATCTACCTGAGACGGAAAACACCAATCGAAACACAGGAACCTGAGACATGTCAACATTGTAAGCCATAAAGTTACATCAGGAACACTGCACTACTGTACACTTTTCAAAACAGAAAGATGGGAGGTCCCAAAAATGAGATGCCAATTCTGTGAGCAATGGTGTGATTTTTTTTTGTTTTTGTTTTTGTTTTTTTTTCTAAAAAGAACAACTGAAAAAAGCCTTTCAACAACATGCTAAATGATTCTCACCCTTTGATATGATTATACTATGGTCGGAATGGGTGCTAAGGGCTCGGAATAGAGCTGCAGATGATAAAATTCATTGAAAAAGGGATGTTCATTGTGGCTTTTTGTCTTGGTTAAGTACCTAGGGATAGGAGAGGGATAAATAAAATGCTGCTCGATAATGGATTTTCTTTTACATACCAGTCTGTTCCCAAAAGGCCCCCATATTGCAATGGTTCTATCAAAGGTTAAAATAAAGACAAGAAAAATAAACATGTTTTCAAATAACAAAGAGTTGACACTTTTTCCCCCTTAAATAAATCAGCATAAGTTTTCCACATAATGTAACAATAGTAAAAATGCACCTTGCAAAATCCAAAATTACTCACTGAAAATGTAATAGAATATATATTTATATATATATATAGATCTATCTGTTTTGATGCCATCTTTCCATAGGGACTGTTATCTGGAGTCTGGAGCCTTACCAAACATATGGTAAGAGTTTAGTTTCTGTCCTTCAGGACTACTTCTAGATTTCCTAGACGTTTCAGTGAAAATCCCCACACTTCTTTCTTTAAAACATGTAAATGGTAACATGACTCCTCTACCTTTTCCCGAGGCTCCCCATCTAAGATATGTTCAAGGTCACTGATTTTAGTAGCTATGCACTATGGCTGCCATCATGCGAGGATCGGTAATTTTTGGCAGATGGTTCTTAAGGCTGAGGAAAGAGGCCAAGGCTAGTGTATGAAAGGTAAAAAGATAAAAACACTCACATTTGAGTTTTGATTAAGTAACTGAAAATCCGTACATGCTGTTTTTCCACCTCTGCTCTGACCTATTGAGAACTGAGAGCGACAGCAGACCAGTGTGAGAACAATACCGGCCCTTCTTTTGTACCTCCTGCCTTTGTCAAGCCAAATCTGAAGGAATGAAAGTTTCACACAGATTCGAGTTGGAAATCCCAGCATGACAAATATCTGTAATATACAGTACATGCAGGCCACATCCTACTGCCTTCCTAACTAAGCACAAAGGAAAAAAAAAAAAAAAAAAAAAAAATCAACCCTGTCCCATTCAGTCATTCGCACAACACATGGACTTGCTTTTTCCTACAAATTAGTGAGAAGTAAGGCCGATTGGGAAAGGTGGATGGAATCATTTGGAACAGAAACAACCAGAGCAGAACTATATTTCCCCCCTCCCTACTTCCCCTCCTGTGGCAACTCAAATTTGTCCACTTATATAAAAGGAACAGACCTCACCTGTCAGGTCTGTTTAGGGCATGGAAAAAGGAGGAATCCTTTCCGCCCCAAACCTTTCTGGACAGCGTGGGATATCTATACTGAGCCGTCTACAGATACAGAATTAAAGACAGTGAAATTCAATCTCATTGTGACACACCTCACTTGCAGATAACCCTGTACAGTAATGTAGTTCCACAGCAAACAGAACATTTTCTGAATCACAGTCTAATTTTCTAGTCTTCACTGCTCTAAGTATTTGAAACATGGGCAGCAGCAAAGAGTTTTCATTGTTTGTTCACCCAAATCTTTACGACAACAGAGAAGAATGCATTATGGATACACTAAATTCTGAACTATGAAATCTAAGCTGTGCTGGTTCTCCTTTTATGAAACTGAATTTGGAACAGAAAGCAGTTACCACAAAAATAAACAAAAGAAAGTAAAAACAAGAACAGAAAAGGGAAGGAAAAGAGTCTAAGGAATCCCAGCAGGCAAATTCCAAAATGGGAGATTTTGGAAAAAATCCAAAATTGGGGGGAGAGGGAAGGAAATAAATGTGCACAAAGGGGGAAAAAAAAAGGAAGGAACGCAACAAACAAAAAACAAGGCACAGAATTTTCTGCAATCTACTGAAACGAAATCCAAGTATCCAAGTTTGACTTGGTAGGAAGAAATAAAAATTAAACAAACAAACAAACAAAAAAAGAGGTGTCAAACAGCAGAATGTACTTTCCAAAGAACATTTTTTTTTTTACACAGCAAATCCCAAGCCTTCCCAGTCTCACACCTTTCCACCCATTCATGAAAAAACACACGAATTTCTCGCAAGTTCCAATATCACTGTCTCTTTATCATCTAAATAGGGCCAGTTGGACACCTCATTGAAACAAAAAGGCTGATCTAGATGAAGTACTCTTTCTTTTCTTCAGAGTTGTTCTGTCCTCCTTCTGCATTGATTATAGCTGTGTCTGCGTCTGCTGCGTCATCGGCTCCTTTGGCTTCATGAGTGAAGTATGTACCTGAAAGATGAAGGGGTAAAGCACCGTGACTGTCTGATGGCCTCTGTGTGAAGTGGTACAGAGATGGCAACTTGCTTTATGGCCATCATCAGCCGAAGTGGTGTGCAGGCAGCAGAGGGGAAAAAACAATTGGAAGAAGAGAGCGGGGTGGGTGAGACAAATGGGGATCCGGGGGTTCCAAAGGCACCACTCCAACTGAACCGCTGCGATATAATTCAGCAAATGAGACATTAGAGCAGTGATTATGACCAGAGGATGTCAGCAGAAGAAGACGTGAGTGGGAGCTAAAAATGCAGAAAGCTGGAGAGCTGCTGACTAATGTATAAACAGTAAACACCAATGACCAATGACCAGATACGTGCACGTACATGGTTAAAGACCAAAGCAAGGAAGAGCAATTAGCCAATAAATGAATTAGGGCCCTGATGATGCTTCTGTTGTCATCTCAACTCATTTATTTGAACCACAGTCCCCTGTCTATATGAATCGTGATTGCCTACCCATAGGTGAGAATGTGCTTGAACTTGCACAAGTATGTTTGATTTTTCTATGTCTTCCATTTCAGAGTGAGGTTCCAGATTGAGAAAGAATTTGACATTATAATGGCTGGGATCAAGGTTTCGGATCTGTCTTAATGAGCAAGGGAGTCTCTCTCATCATGTAACTCTAGCCTGGACCCGGATTCATGGATTTGCTAATTGGCACAGCCACTTTATAATGACAATAGACAGACGTTACAAAGTTGGGGACACTCTTATCACCAGATCCCAACAGTTTACATGGAGAACGACAAAGACTGCACCTCAGTATGCTATACAGGTAGAACTTAAACTGCCTGCCATAATCAAATACTCTTCCTCCCGTTACATACTGTATTCCTGAAGAGTCTTCTATTTAAAAAGATTGAGACATTTGCTATATTTTCAGGTCTTCAAAGTGACAAATCTGAGAAAGCAAGTGGTCAAACGCTTCTTGGTATCCTTTTTTCTTGCTGTAGAGTGACACACATGTTCCCCTCCCCTGGTCCTTCACAGCTGCTGCTCGGACGCTGCCCTGCTCTCTGGCCTTACCTCCTGTCTCTATCAAGCTTACCACCGAGAGGCTGGGAGTTCTTGGCCAAACGCCTCCTGAGTGCGGGCAGAGGGCGAAGTATGGACAGCTCTGATCGTCCTAAACTGTTTTATGCTTGAGACAGGCACTCTGTATCCTAAAGGTGCTTATGTACCTTAGACCTCCAGTGCTGCGCTCAAGGGACCTTCCCGCAAACCCAAGTTCAACAGTCAAGCAGTATGCAAGCACCTAGAAAACCTTGTAAGCTCATTGCACAGTGCTTGAGAAAAATAACTGAGAGAGACAGGGGCGGACAAAGAAAAGGAAGAATAAATTACCAAGAGGGGAGAAGAGGATCAGAGCAGCATGGGGCAGAGAGGAGGGGCATTGGAAAAGATGATTGCCCATCCAGACTGCACAGTTGATAAGTGTGATGATTAATGGCAATTTAAATCAATTGCAATGATAATTTTAAAAATACATATTTATGCGGCTTTTAAGGCAAAAAAAATTGTCTTTAACCTGGGCACATCAAACTAAGGCAGAGCCATTGTGACCAGCTTACACAGAGTCTGGGGACAGGGGACAGGGGGAAATCCTCTGCCTCCCAGAAAACAGGTTGTGGATGTGGTTTTTCCATGTTTATCCTTTGGGGGTTCATGCCACATCTTGCACACCAGCCTCTATCATTTTTCATCTATCCCCAATTATGGATGGCGGAATAACAACTCTACAGAGCTTTATATTTAGAGAAAATCCGAATCAAGGAGTGCTACTCATCAACTCCCAGAGTCCTAATCAGCGGCTGCTAAGATTTCTGTTTTTTTTTTTTTTTCTCTTCCAGTTTCAGGAATCAGATAGGCCGTGTGGCCACATATATCAAATTGTCTATCAAGGACAACCGCGTAAAGTCCCTAAAGGCAGAAGCTGTGGGGACACGCTGCTCCTGCCTGCTGAAGCTTTGCTTACCTTTATGTCTGGCAAAATAGCGCCCCAGAATGATGAGCAAGCACAGCATGGCGAACACCACCACCGCCACGACGCCACCGATCACGGCATGATCCACTGCCCTGATCGACCCTTCTTCACCTGCTCGGGAATCTGTTGAAATCAGAAGAGGAATAGGGATGTAGAGTTTATTACAAGGCACCAGAAACCCTGGCGACACTGTCTCCAGGGTCAGAGGGTCACCTTCTTTTTAATGGAGGAGTCAGAGAGAACAAGCGAGATGGATCAAGTTACACTGAAGTTACACTGAGGGAACAGGCTGACCTGTCCAGTGCTGAATTGATCTGTTCTCCCCACAAGGCAATTTCATGATAAGCAGCATAGGAGGGTTAATGCATGTGGAACAAGCTTAGGGAGGCAGGGAAGGAAGAAATAGTCTATCCGGCCCTGAACTAGTCTTGGCGTCCACTCGATCTGTATCCAGTTGCAGAGCCTAATTAAGGAGGCTGACCTGACTATTTGAGGGTGCTCTGAATGACACCTTTAGGCAATAGGAAGATAAAGCATCTTTCTACAGATGCCCAATGACTTTTATTCCCTGATAGATCAGGGATATGCATAGGAAAAGTAAGGTGCTCAAAAGCCACAGCTGCCTAGAGATAAAACAAGGATTATAAGACTAAAGACAAATGACAGGCTTGCTACATTTAGGATGTACGAGGGAGTAAGCCTCAATTTAAAACCTAAAACCTATTTCAAAAGAGACAGCAAGGAATAATTGTCCATTGCCACCGACGGTTTTTATTTTATTTAACACCTTGCAATGCAATTAATTTTCCTTTATAAGCATCACTCCCTCAGGATGTCTTCTTCCGACTGAGGAACGACATGTTTGGCTGGGGAACAACTCCAAAATGAACCCAGAATGAGCTATGGCGATGCAGAATGGATGTATGGTAGTGTAAACAATTTTAATTTAGGAATGTGGCTACATCACCCCTTGCTGAAATCCTAATGGCATCCGAGATTTATAATGCAGTAAAAAACAATTATTCTCCTGTTGATTAATACATTAACATTTTGGAGTGGAAGCTAAACCATTGTCTTTTTTTTTATTGAGTCAAGTACGACACCTCCATTAAAATGATTTACTAGCTGTACCTTACAATTTAAGCACAGCAGCAACAGAAACGGTAAAAATCTTTTAACTTTACATGATTTGTGAAGTCATATGTGAAGGATTTACCATTTGAATCTTTCAGTACAAGAAGCACATGGCCTATAAATCTGTCCCCCTTGCAGTTGCTGGACGCCTAAGAGAAATGCATTTCACCAGGAAGACTGAGAGTGCAAATTCAAGTCAATTTTTAAGAAAGATTTATCTCTGTCTCTCTCCAAAGAACAGAGCAAATCTCTGAAGCCTCCACCTCTAATAATATTTGAAGTTTATCGATCAAGTGTACAGATCCGTGACAGCTAAAGGTAATGGTGCTCTTTTGAGCCGAAACCTGATACAACGCTTTCGGCAGGAGGGCATGATTTACACTTTCTATCGATATTTCCAATTCTGCTCTGAGATTAAGTACTGAAGGATGTGGGGAAATAACTCGTGACTGAGGGTTCCATGAAAAGTGCTTTAATTAAAAGAGTTTAAATTTTAAAATGGAGTATTTAAAGTGTTTCATTAAGTTATCTTTGAAAGGACTACAGAAAAACCAAAACCCAAACCCAAACAGAAATGCCAAATCAGAGGCAGCAGCAGGTCGCCTAGGACAACAGGATGATGGGAGTTTAATTGGAGAAGGGAGCTGGGTTGGAGGCAGAGTGCACTGCAGCCAATTAGCCCGCTCCGAGCTGAGCGAGCCCCTCCAGCAACGTGTCTAATAAGCTCAACTTGAAACGTGGTGGAGAGGAATCTCCCTCCTCAGCCAAAAGTGTTGCCGACCGCAGATGCTACAGCCCCCATTGTCTTGAAAGTCATTTCAACAAGGCAGAACTCAGCCAAGGGAAGTTGGTTTTTTTTCGTTTTTTTTTTTTTTTCTTTTTTCTTTTTTTTCCTTTTTAGAAACGACAGAGCTCGTTGAAGGGGAGCATTCCCCGTAGGGTGCTGCTGGACACGGGGTGTCTGCTGGAGGAGGGCGCTTGACACACTGGAGATGTTCACTCCGACTGCACACATGCAAAAGAGTAACAGAAAAGCCAGCAAGTTGTGTTTTCCTTAGGGAGCTGTCAAAACAGGGAATTTTGTGAGAATGAGAATTAACTCATCTCCAATGGCCATGAGCCTCAGACCTATTAAAATTTATGTCTTTCGACGAACTCTGTATGTCTTAAAATTGAAGTGAGACTAGACATTGAGGACAGGGGAAAGTTAGGCACAAGAGGCAAGAGGTGAAGAGAGGTTCTAGGAAGACTGAGAACAGAGAGAAGGTTCGAGAAGCTGTCCAGGACAGTTCTAACCCATTTAGGGGAAGGCACTCTTGTCCACTCTTAATAAACCACCTCCTCTCCGGAGATGCCTAGACAAAGGGATATTCTGGAAGCCTGAGGGAGGAGGGGGGAGGGGAGAGGCAGAGAGAGAGGCTCTGTGACAAAGAAAAACAAAAACCTCCCCCAAACAAAAAGATCTCACAAGCTATGTATCTGTGAGATTAATTCCTTGAGCCAAAACTCCTTACTTGACCTTTGCCCTCCATGAACTTTGAGCTAAATATGCCCAGTGTTGCTATTTTTCCCTGCACTTTGCCCAAATTAAACTAGAACCTTAGATCTTCTAGTTACCTTCCCCACCCTCAAGGACATGCATATTTTACAGATACTTATTTATAAGGGTAATCTCTCCAGCTATCTTCTGATACTCACTTTGATCAGAAAGTTTACTACCACCAGTTAATCACCAAGACATTTCTCCTGCCTTCAATTACTGCAGATGGACACAGAAGGTAACTGATGTTTAATTTACAGGGAGCACTGCCGGTTACGAGCGCCTCACGCCTCTTCCCACCCCCACTCCCACCTCCTGGGTTTACGTGGGAGGTGTTAATAGAGTTGTGCCTGTTCACTGAGTGCCTCTGTCTTGGCCTTCCCTATGAAAAGCAGAGCTGTTTCTGGAGTCATCTCAGTCCGTTCTTTCATTTCCACGTGTGGGGAGGGTGGGTGAGTGTTCATAATGCTATGGATTGGCTCAAGGCAGCAGGGCCGGGGTGAGCTGCCTGCACCTGCGGGCTGTGCTGCACTCATGACATGAAGCAGCCCTGCAAGATGCCGCCCAGGAGGGCACTGGGCTACTGGAGTCGCACGAAAACCAGAAACGTAAGGAAATACTGAGCACTAACAGAAGCATGGCTCCGACAAAGTCTGTCAGCTGCTTGACCTTTCCTTCCATTCCCAAGGCAAGGACTCTGACCAATTCCATGATAAATGACTTCTTAGTGGCAAAGCTATGGGTTTCCCCATGAGCCACAGATCCTGGTCCTGTAGGGTGCAGACCCCGTCATTCAGGTCCCACGAAGTGCTGGCTTTCCTGGGGACATCCTCTTCAGATTCCCGGCTCATTTTCCGAATCGGGTGGGCAAGGAAACCAGAGGCAGATTCTACAGCTGCCCCCAGCTTGTCAATTGAAAAATAAATGTGGGAGTGGAAAGCACTTTTAAACACACCTGATGCTCAGGCATATGGATATCACTTCGGTTTAGAAAGTCACGTTTTCTTGTTCCCTAAGAGGCTACAAGTGTTCCTCTTACTAGTAACAGGTGTTTCTGGGCCTAAGTTCTGCCTCATCATCCTGAAAAGTAAAGCCATATTTTTGCTTGGTGAATGGTTACAGCATAAAGGTCATTCCAGCCTCAAAGAATCAAGCATGATTACATAACACAGTTCAACTGGAGTTAAGAATCTCATCCAAATCATTTCACATGCGACCTCAGGTGAATTAGGCCTAGTCGTTGAATGATTCTGACTTGCAGATGAACCCTGTAAACGTTATTGTGTATCACTCTGTCACCCTTCACTCCTCAGAGGTAGAAAGCTTGGTGTCCTTTTGGCAAAGAGACTGACCTTGGACTCTGTGTAGCCGGGGGCTTCAGGGTGGGCAGGCGGCAGTTCCAGAGAGGTGTTCCTCACAGCTCGCAGTTGTGATACAACCCTCCCTGCCTGTCCTGTCCCATCCTGCAGTCACTTCCATGGCTCTAAGTGTCACAGATAAATCCTGAGCTGTTTAGTATTCGTGAGTTAGCTTTTCTTTTGGCAAAAAGCTGAAACAACTTGGCTCCAGGTGAGAGTTTACAAGCTGCTTGCAGAATGTTAAGTTGGCCACTACTGCTTGGGTCACAGCTTCAACAACCCTGGGCTCGCTTTAGCATCTTAGAAATTGTGGGACAGAAAATTTTCAAAGAAACTCCCAAGAGTGATGCCCCAAACTGCTCAGATTTCTTTACCTTGGGCCAGTTGACCTGGCCCGATCCACTCCTCATGGGCAATATGAAGGGGAAGTTCTAAAGGCAGTAGTTCCCTAGGGCCTGATAAGAAAGGTGACTGCTAGTGAAACTTCAGTCTCCTTCCCCCTCCTTCTAGGAGACTTTTCTTTCTCTACTTGCTTTCACTCCTCAACCTCCTTGCCAGAGTCGTCTTAAACGCAGCACTCTGGCAGCCATGCTGCCTGTATTAAACAGGGCTCTGCAAGAGATCCTGGTTTCTATGGCTACTTTACCACCTGGCATGAGATGTGTAGCATAAACCGCCATGCAAATGCCATAATCATGGATCTGTGATAAGCCTAGAAGGCTCTGCTGCCAAAGCAGGGATCCATGGATAACTGGAGAGTGGCTAGTACATCCTAGACAAGCTCCTGGCAAATAGGGACTTTGGCAGAAGGACTCACTGAGCGGAACCTTCACTGCAACTGCTGCCTGCCCACCCTGAAGCCCTCGGCTATAGAGTCCAAGGTCAGTCTTTTTGCCAAAAGGACACCAAGCTTTCTGAGGAGGAGTGAAGGGTGACACAGTGATACACAATAAAGTATGCAGCATGAGGCATGACAGCCACACTGCACTGGGTCCCCCTCACATCTCCAACATCCCTGGCTCAGACTGTAAGGCACATTTAGCAACATGGTGCTTAAACGCACACTTTAACTCTTTTCATAGGTCATAAAC